TGAGAGGAGCATAACTTGACCAACTTCACATAGCTAACTGATTTCACAGCAAGCAGTCAAGTCTAGGCCTCTTGACTCAATGAAATTCTCTTTCTAGCACTACTACGATTGGATTTTAAGATATTTTCAAGCTTTTGTTCATAGACATGCTACAGTTAGATTCATGGCCCTAGCAATGGAGATTTTTTTTTTCTGTTTTAATTCCAATACAAGTCATGTTAAGTGCAAGCACACCTCAGCCCCGTGGCTGGACGATGGTCCCGTTGTTCTTCTGTTTAGTGCTTGGATAATGGCCACAGGTTGCCACATGGACCATATGGAATACATCTCAGTCATCTCTCCATGATAAGCATGGTGGGAGATTTGAATCATCACTACTAGGCACAGAATCATAAAATGTATTATTTGTGAATTGGGAATTAAATAACAGAGTTGAAGCAATATTTGTATTAGCATGTGATAAGGTCTAGCAAAGCGAATAATTCCCAGATAAAAATGCATGAAATAGGCTTTGGTGTCATTTATAATCCAAAGACCACAATGGATTATAATCCAAAGACCACAATGGGACTTGCTAAAAATAACCAGCCACAAAGAGTTTTACCTGATTTTAGCTCTCTCAGGGCTGTGGGACACATAAACACTAACTGTCCCCTCTACATGGCCCTCTCTGTTGGGCAGATGGAACCCTGTAAAATAGTAGGGACAGTGAACCTGAGGGTAAATCTACCCAGCATTTTCTGGGGTGAGCACCCAATTCCCCTCCTCCTTTGGGCAGGGCAGGGAGAAAAGAGGTTAGGCTCCAAGCACCACTGTGTGCGGCTAAAGCATGGCACCTGGTACAAGCCAGTTGATTCATTTTGTCCTCACTCCAGCCTCAGGGAGGGGAGAAAGGCAGGAAGGGGTTAAAGGAGCCTCTTCATCTCTCGGGGAAATCAAGGAGTGAATCAAGTTCATTAACATTAGGCAGCTTTCAAATACAGAACAAAATTCAAAATTCAAATGGAGAACAAAGCATGTGATATATAGATGATGTATTACAGAATTATACACTTGAGGCCTATGTCATTTCATTAACCATTGTCACCCCAGTAAATTTTAATTTAAAAAAAATGTAGCACAAAGCAATGAAATGAAAAGATCCCATAGACACGCTGCTGGGTAGCCATAAAATTATTCAGTTACTATATAAGTATATGGTTAAAGCAAATAGCAAAACAACCTGGAAAAAGACAGATGACACTGTGACTCCTACCCCCCCCCGACACCACTTTCACTAGTGGGGAGCGGGGTCAAAACATACTTGGCATCTGAGGTAGCCACTGTGGGGCCTGACTCCAAGACCTACTGCCTACCAAGTGAACTTAACCTCTCTGGCCATCCATTTTCCCATTTTTGAAATGGTGGTAATCCTGCCTTGAAACGTGGTTGTTAGTATTACATGAGATGGTTGGTGTACGTAACATTCCTGCCAGCATCGGCACTTTGGAAACCAAGCTCCTATCGAAATCATATGTTTGTTCAACCCACAGATATTTATTGAGCTCTGGCAATGCCTCCGGTGCTGCTGTGAGACATGGGGAGATTCAGCAGTGACAAAAGGACAAAGTCTTGGCCCTCGAGAGGCTTACACTGTGATGGCCTGGGTGGGGGAGGGGAGGGAGGACACGTGAGGTGCATAAACAAACATATACTACAGCAGGTGGGGAAAAGTGCCATGAAAGGAGAAAAGCGGGATGAAGGGGCAGACAGTGCAGCAGAGACCCCTCTCACGGAAGGCAACGTAACATTATTAACACCCCTGAATATACGAACTGCTCTCAGACGTTACCTGCACAGTGGAGTGTAAAAATGCGACTGTGTAAAGCATTGGCTTCCACATGGGTAAGTTACTGACGTCCAGAAGGTCTTGATTAATTCTGGCAAAGGTTCTTTTCAAACCTGCGCGGACGCCTTGGGGTGGCTCATTAGTGAACTTGAGAGAACTCTGTGGTAAAAAAGCAAATGGTGGTCTTGTTTCTATAAATTATTGTAAAGGATAAAATAGGAATTACAATATGTCAGACAACCAACAACGTGCTTATGGTACATAAAATGTGTGCTGAAACTCAGCCCTGTGTAAACTAATGACTTTGATCAGAGGTGAAACCCAATAAATGACTACTGAGTGTTAGAACGCTTCTGCAGAAATATTTGCTATATAACCTTGGTGATTACATTATAAGATTTTGCACTGCAGACTCTACTGGACCCAAAAGACCTGTTGTGTTTCCATCTTTCGATAATGCCAATTATGCTATCTTAATTCGTATGGCTCTCAAGGAAAAGACACTTGTTTCATAGTAAACAAACCTGCAGCAATGTAATTGGAAATCGATCGTGGGGCTCGGTGGTTATCCATACTCGGAAAGAATCATCATTGGCTTCAGTGGTAATTATTGTATCTAGCAATTCTTCCATGAATTCCAGGCCAAGGTGACCATTTTGCAGTAATACCCAGCCACCCTGTATTTCAAAATAATTTAATATTAATTTCTTATAACCTTTCTTCTATGATTTTAATAAAAACAAAATGTACAAATTATTTTTAAACCTTTGCTTAGGGCATACGAATACTGTTTTGAGCATATATTTTTAACACAATTATTATATGTCAATACAATGATTTCTTCTGCTATTGGTAAAGTTGGTTACTTGGAATCAAGTGGGTTCAAAATGATTGTATTCTGCCACCCCTGGTTCATAACAGAACAGAAATTAAAACTTGCAATCAGACTTGTATAAGTACAGTGTGTGCACCATCTAATGGCGAGAATGGAGATTTTAGAACTTGTAACTTAAATTGTCCTGCGTAAGGTAAATCAGAAATGACTTACCCCCAAACCAAGTTATCCATAGTTACAAAGAGAGGTACATATTCTCTCATGAAAGCTGGGGACAATACATTTGGTAGCATTTGCTACCATAATACTAAACCCCATTCTTTGTCATCATTCTTCCCATACATTCCTGAAACCATGAAACTTACTAAGCTATCTAAATACTTGTACAACTATCTTTAACAATATAAGTCACATATCCATCACTGCTGTATGAGAAAATAGTTTATTAACCAGACAACATTTTGATCCCCTCATATAATGAGATCAGATAAGTAGAGCTACAAAACATTGAGCACAATAAATGCATAGTAAGATATGTGTATTATAAGATATGTAAGAGAAAATACAATGTAGTCTGGCTTAAGCAGCAAAGGGGACATATCGGTCTAGACCAGGGGTCAGCAAAATTTTGAGACAGAAGAGATGCCAGGCATCAGCAAACTGAGGCTTGTGAGTGTGTGGCTCTGAAGTAAAATTGAAAATGAAAATAAAACTATCATAGTTTCATTTATAAAATTTTTAAAGAATATTATTCACATACTGGTGATTATGTAAAAATATATCTATGGTTCTCGAATAATTTTTAAATTGTTGTGAGGGACAGAATTGGCTCTTCCAGGGGTCAGCAAACTTTTGAGACAGAATGTACCCAAAGAGCCACATGTGGCTCGCGAGTTGCAGTTTGCCGACCCCTGGTCTAGACAACTGGGGTGTCCAGTGGAAGATGTGGGCTTCACAGTTGGCATGTGTCATCATGGACCCTGTTACTTTCTGGTTCTCCACTCTGCATTCTACAATGTCAGCTTTATCCTAAATCTTCCTGTGACAATGTGGCTGTACCTGTTCACGTTCTTTTTTTCTAATAATGCCATTATTATCAGTATTAGCCCACCTCAAGAAATAGAACATGGAAGTTATAAAAATTAGTATACCAAAGAAGGTTAATGCAAATGCAGTATTTAAATTAAAAAGTTTCTCACTCATGGAAACTAAAGAAATTACTTAAGGCCCAAAGTTCAACTGTCAAATCACTCAAGAGAGTGAATCATTTGATCTGAGTAAAAATAATTATAAATAATAGCTTTGATATATATAAATTAAGTACAATATATCATTGAAATTAATTAACTGATAAAGATTAAGGCTTAGGGCACTTGAAAATTAATGACTAGCTTAAAAATTTGATGACCAAAGTAGAGTTTCAGCCCATTAACCCTCTCTAGTCATTAATTCCCAGGGAAAAGCTACACTGAAGTTGCTATGGACATTATGAGATCAAAAGCTTAAAAATAAACCAAGATCTTATTTTATTTTCATAAACAGTACAATTTCTTATTATAGCTGAAATTGCTATCTACCAAGCATTTCTAGAAAATTAATGTCCTGTGTATTTATTAGGTCTGACAGGAAACATTTCTCAACATTCCATTCAGCTTGCAATTTTCAATAAAAACCATTATCAATATTTAAACACAACATCCTCAAATATTTATTTGCCTGAAACTATCCATTAATAAAAAATGAAAGTCTAACTTTAACCAAAAAATTGAAACTTAACTGTCTCAATCTGTCACTTCTTAAGCACAATCTATTAATATTGATCATGAAATTCCAAGATTGCTGGAGCTGCGTACTTAAGAAACAGAAAGTGTGTCTGCCAGATGGCCAAAAAAAATTTAGTGAAAGTAAAATGGAGCATATACTACAGATAATGGAACAAGCTTTTTGTGGGGGCTGTCAGGAACAAACTAGCTTGAGGTTTAAAATTCACAGGTGATCACAGGTTGACTCTATATACATAAACAGAAATGGAAAGACTGAGCATCACAGGTAGAATGTTTCGCCCCTCACTGTGGTGTCTGAGGTAGACCAGATGGCTACAGGAACAACAGCAAGAATGGCACATTAGGAATTGTTATCTCTCACTACATACCTGCTGCATTGACATCTGAATCAGCTTTCGAGCATGTACTTCCTGTCCTTGCCCCATTGAGATAGTTCTGCATTCTGTAACATAGGAGAAGGTTCACTATGATAAAACAAGTTTATAATGGGATTGGGACAAAAATCATTTCTGAATGGTCAAAGCCTCTGAGAAGGAACCTTTGCTATTGAAATGTTTCTGGCCTGTGGTTGTGTTGATGAGAGAGATGAGTGGAGCAGAAACTGGAGGAACCACCTAGAAAAGTAAGGGCAAAGAGAGAGAGACAGACAAAAGGCACAAGCTTGGGCATCGAGAGAGTTTTGGGGTTTTTGGAGATAATGAGAAGAGAGACTGGTGGTGGGAGAGGCAGCTACAATATTATTAAAGGTATTCAGAGGATTTTAAATTTTTGCTGTATGTTTTGACTATAAACCTCCTTTGGTGTTTTACAGATGCTTCAGTAAAGGTTTAATTGACTTTTTATTCTTTTAAGATGTCAGGCTTACAGGGTTGTCTGTTTGTCTGTTTTAGTTTTGTTTGCATGTTTGTCCATTTTCTGAGATGGAACTAGAGGCAGCTCAGCCTCCTCATATTAAATCACCACCTTGGAGCTGAGTGTGAAGAGAAAGTGGAGATCACTCTGAGATCAGAGGTGTGATTATGATTCAGGGACAATACAGTATTTAGGCTCATTAGTATTATAAATGTGATGTTACAGACAGAGAACCACATTTGTATCCTGCCATATGAATTCACTAAATTGAAGAAGTCCATGAATCATGGTTATGAAACTCGAGTTGGAAATTAACTTTTAAGCAAGCCTTTGTGGACCTGGATTTTCTCAAGTTTGAGAGGCATGACCTCAGCTCAGGGAAAGGAAGTCACTGCAGACATTGTGAAGTGTGTATGCTTTTACCCTGCTCTACAGGATGAGTCTGCATCCTCAGAAAATTGGACAGCTGTGGCTGGGCAAACAATGAGGCAGGTTTGGGAACTGCCCATAGAGGCTACAAGAAACTGGAGAAATTCATGGGATAGGAAGGGAGGTGTGCCAGGAACCAGAGAAGTTTTCAGGGTATACCATGGGGTTAATGTGCACAGATTCCATTAGGGTTTGCAGGGTGCAAAGTTAGGGGCTATTCATGGACTCAGGGTCACAAGAAGACAGTTGGCAATGGGTGCCTGAGAGAGGATGGAAGAGCACTGCTTGGAGAATCAGGAATTTACTGAACAAAGCTGGATCCCAGTCCCCCCAAGTCCCCCATGATCTCTCCTATTCAAGTGGAACCAGGCACTGCTCCCAGGGGCATCTGAGAAAAATCCACACGTCCTATAAAAGGAGATGAAAGGGGAGGTGGGGCTTGAATGGGAGGGTCCTCTGGATTGTATAAAAAGACCGTGAACCCTTTGTTTTGGAAGAACACACAAATGCTCAGGAGGTCAGTGGGGGGAGGCTGATATGGACACAAAGTATTAATACACAAGTGTGAGCCACACTCTTTCTCTTCTTCCAACACTTCTGAAATATACCTTCTAAAATGAAGAACAGGTTTTTGTTCAGGTGGCCTGAGTTTCAGGAGGAGACATTGCTTCAAAGCCTACTGAGAACCTGACCACTTCTCAACATCTCTACTTTTAGTCCCCTGCTCCAAGTGACCATCACCTCTTGCCTGGAATTTTGCAATAGTTTTCTTAACCTTGTCACTCCCACACTTGTCCCTTACTAGCTTTTATTTCCATTGCAGACAGAAGGATTCTGCCACGTCCTAAGTCAGATGATGTCCATCCTCTGCTCAGAACCATCTGATGACTTCCCATTTCATTCAGAGCAAAATCCAAAATCCAACCCAAAGTTCTTACCTTAAGCCTCTAATGCCCTACACAATTGGCCCCCATAGCAGCCACACTCTACACACACACACACACACACACACACACACACACACACACACACACACAC